CCCCCCCCCCCCCCCCCCCCAGCTCAGTTATTTACTCATTACATATTGTTCATAATGAATGTACATATTGCTCCTAATGGATTTTTGATACAGCATGCGAGCAGGGCCACAGTGTAAGTAGCAGGTAATTGAAGAATTTGCATAACTCTTTCCAGCACAGGAGCTCCTCGACTCCACTCTGCAGCAGTGCCCCCTAACGGCCAGAGGCTAACGTTCATGGGAGCCCTAACTGGTGGCTGCAGGTCGAGCATTCCTTGAAGTCAATCGGCTCGTCAAAAGCTCACCATCTGCTACAATGAGGGGCCAATTAGAAGAACAGGAAAAAAAGACGTAGAAAGTCTTGTCATCGGCTCGGCAAATCAGACGTGTGATGACTCAATGGAGGCTCGGTGTGTTTTGGTTTGCGAGAGCATTCATATAGCCGCCGATGCGGCGAAGAAACATTAAAAAACAAACTGCCATAATTCCCCGATTTCACAGCACCTCATTACACATGTATACTGAATTTAATAGCACGGATATAATAAAGTCGGATCACCAGACGCAACACAAGGCATGTCACAACATCGTTAAAAGGAATACAGCAGTATCCCCGATTCAGGAGGTTCCCCTTTTGAGGTCTGTTTTCAGGGCGCTGTGAGCTGTGTAAGCCTGCTATTTGTGCCCCGTTCATTCCTTCTCTTACCTGGGGGACAAGCGAGCTCGCGAATGTGGTAGTTTGCCGTTATTATTTCCATATGCTCTCACTTAAAACGGCTGGCTAATCCTCGGTCACACGCCAGCAGCGCGCCCAGGATTATCTGTGTTTGTTTTCTCACGCCGAGGAGAGATTGTGTTAATCTCCTCACAGGGGGAAAAAAAGAGAGAGTGAGAGAGAGAGAGAGAGAGAGAGAGAGAGAGAGAGAGAAAAGAGAGAAACCAATGTCTTGCTCATGAGTAGAAAAAAAGGGAAGACATGGGACATCTGAGAGTGCAATAAGACAGAAGACAAGACAAGTGACAGAGGGAAGGGATGGCGGGCAGAGGAAGAACAAAGTCAAAAGGGAGATTTAGAGGAGTCTTTGTTCTCCCGACTCTGCAGTTGTGCTTGTTGGCAGAAATGTCCAAAGCTGCATTTGTCATCAGACAAATGTGATGTGTGATCTTGATTTAGAATGCACAAAATCAAGAAAAACTCGAGCTGCCAGGGACAGCAGGGTGCTGAACACACTCGAGCACACTCACCACGCGCGCGCGCGCACACACACACACACACACACACACACACACACAGACACACAGACACACAGACAGACACAGACTCATACTCTTAGGTGAGCACAAGCATGCAATCTTCTTATTATACATTATGTATTGAAGAGTCACCACCTCTGTGATCTGAAGCCTCACCCTGCAGTAATGAGCATTTACTGTAATGCATGCACACACTCACACACACACACACTTTCTCAATAGAGCATGCATGCCTATGGGTCGGCCTCCCTGAGAAGAGATGTATTATGTATCACCAGTCTAGCTAATTAATTTCTGCTAACTGTGAAGCGAATTTGAAAGGGAAATTGTATCGAGAAATTTGAATTTCAAAAAGGACATTGGAAGCATCGCAGGACGGGAGAAGGTTACACTAGTAGAGTGCACGCGTGTAAGAGGAAGGCACCACTCAATAGAGATAAGGGAGTGTGTCAGTATATACTGGGCTTTTTCTATAAATAATGTGTGTTTTTGATTTTGAATTATTTGTGTCTGTAAAAAGGTTGGAAAACAGTGAAAACTAGAAAGGTGCAATCAGTAGTGCAGATCTTTCCCAGGTGTGTTTGCAAAGACAGCTGCTGTATTTTGTGATTAAATGAATACAACCTACAATTGGCTAACCCGCCCTTTAGACACCAATGGGCTGTAAGGTGTCGTAAAGCACACCTTATTCATACTCAAAAACAAGCGGCTGAGATGTCGTTTAGACATGTCATACAATCTTGCCAAAAATAAAAACAAACTCACGAAGCTGCCTGCCAGTATAGCAGAGGCTGAGTGGCGGCGATTTACTCATCAGTGTGTGTACTAGCAGTCCGTTAGCTGTTAGCAGTTAGCCAAACACACAGTCCAAAACACTAAAAGTGAGCAAACCCCACTGTGTCTCTGGGCGCAATGGTGCGGCTGGGGTTCGGCGATGCACTCAGTTGTGTTATCACTAGCCGCCCCTACCGGCCGGGGTCTGTTAAGAGTGGTGACAGAGGGGTCAGCAGGAAGTCAATGGATACAATGGAGTACAAAACAGGCAATAAAAGGTGTTTTGAGAAAGTGAAAGTCACCACAACCACGAGAGGTCCTAGAGCATGCAGCCATAAATGAGCACTCGAGATATTATGCGGTTTGCTGCAGCAGGACGTGAGAGTAGCCGTGGACAGACACAGAGGTACACACTCACTCACGAACACGCGCGGCCGGTCGCATGATCCTCCTGGCTCAGGTTATAATAAAAATGCCCAGCACAGTTTTCTAGATGGTTTGGGTCGCCCAAGTAAAACGTGGGCCGTTACCTGTCTATTCGTTCTTGACCATCAGATGTAATATCTACGCATCAAAGTGGCTGGATGTTGTCGGTGAGTTCAAATGCATTACATTTTTGAGAAAGCCTGCTTTCCTAATACCCAACTTATAGACTCGTGGTCGCAAATGTAGCAAGGCGCGCTAACACCAAGCGGAAGCTCGTTCCAAAACGACAGTGAATCTGGGGTTGGATTGGCGAGCACCCTAAACCGGTCTCCATGCGGTTTACAAACCGCAACTGACAAATCATACTCATTCTGCCCTTTAAGGTGTGTGTGTGTGTGTGTGTGTACAAGTTCCACACGAGCCGCCAGAGCACTTGTGCGTGTGAAAACATTTTGTTCACACACTTGCATCGGACAGAAAACATAGAGAAACAATTGTGTCGCTGTGTGATAAGTGCTTCCTGTGTGAGGGAGAAAGATGGGTGTGTGCTTTGCGGTTTGTCAGAGCTGGACCCTGTCGCACACACACTAGGGGGAAAAAAAAAAGGATGATTGGGGGGATGGCTTAGGGGCGGGGAGGGAAGCTGGGTGATGGAGTGTGTGAGACGGCGGGTAGGGGGATCTCAGTGATGGAGTGCTGGAGGGAGGGCGGGTGGGGGTGATGAGTGTGTGCTCACAGTGTAAGTGACACCTCTCCTCCTCAGACAGATTGTCTCTCTCTTTCCCTGTAATGGGGACCCCGTTAAGGAACCCTTTCCCGCCATCTACCCGCCTAAACCCCTCCATCTGCACACACACGCGTGCGTGCTCTCATCTCCACACACAATTCCTCTCGTTTATTTATCTTTCCTGCAGAGATATTCCCCCAAATTGCCAACATTTCGATGCCTTTCACTTCGCACCTTTTCTCCGCGTAATCTTTCATCAATCTTCTAAAACTGCTGATTTTCTGTAAAGCAGTTTACTCTGCTTTACAGCTCAGAGAAAAGGGAAGCAAAGAGACGAGGAAATAGAAAAAGGGAGATCAGAAACAGTGCGAGCGAGAGGATATCAATATTCCCAGTGCCGCTGGGAACCTCACAATGATTTTCTTTTCTTTTTAGTAATATTCTGCATAGCCTATTTATCCTCTGTCCAACACGGTTCTCTGTGCCAATCCCACTGAGGGGATTCATATGCACACTTACTGTAAGAACACACGCACACTGACAGAGGATCTGAGGAAACGCGGGCTCAAAAGAACCACTTGTACTTGTCCCCAAGCCCACACACCAAATACCTCAAACAAGTACCCAGACATGTTACATTTCTGAAATGTTATCAACAGAAGGTGTTTGCCAGTGTGTGTGTGTGTGTGTGTGTGTGTGTGAGACAGTGAATGTAGCTGCATATGCCTCTGCCCTCGCTAACAATCATCCAGGCAAACCCGATCAGAGGGTGTCTTTTCGCTTCACAGGCGACCCGCTGGTGGGAGTGCAGCGCCGCAATCACACCTCAGACAAATAGGCTTCATAACTTCCCCGTAACAAACAATCACTGCGGCCCGAGCCTCTATCCCAAATGAAATCTCTTCCACCTGTGTAGATGCGAGGAGACAAAGGAATTTTTTAAGGCTTCTCGTAGCCAGGTACGAGTCTCCATGGTGATAGTAGAGTCGCCATGGTGATGGAGATGATGTTCTAAACAAGGGCTTTTTTCTTTCTTTATCTCTGTGGTTCTGTTTTCAGTTTCAACGTAGGAAAATCTATCGCTCACGGCAGCTGTGTGTCGACATCGAAGCTAGCGCCTGCACTACCTCCAAAAGATAAATCCGTCCTGTGTGTTCACAAAAACAAGTTTGTCCAGGTTTTACTCCCACGGTGTTTCTCAAGGTCTGAGACGACTCCTACCGACACGTTTGCAACATTAGAACAGAACACGCTACCTGCCAGGTATCCACCGACACGGTTCCAAGTGGGTTGCTGCCACTGCAGCTGCCGAACAATGCAGCGCGAGCTAGATGCGAATGCCCCAAGTACCCGTGGTGGTTACTTCCATCTGTGCTGCATGTAGATAGCAGGCACTAATCTTACACAACTCCTACGGAGACGGCAGCAACATTCAACTCCCTGGCAGGGAAACCCTACATTTAAATGCATCCTCCAGTCATTACGTGTCAAGAGTATCCCGACATCAACTCCGGGGCGATATCAAACCGACATCCAATCATGGAGTAGCTTCATTGTCGGAGCTCGAAAGAATCTTTTCAACCTTTCTTGAGCGTCGTGGAATCTCATTGGCAATGCTGTAACATTTCCCTACTTCACACGAGCCCAGCATCTAAGCATCCATCCACAACAACCTTCAAAGGATCACTTCAAAAACGCAACACCATGCATGGTAACCATGGGAGCCTTATTTACGCCATACTATTTTCGGCTGATTTTGGATGTGACCATTCTTGAGCCTCTGTGAGATCCTATCTGTTGGAATAATTCAGTTTTTGCCATCCCTTTGCTTTTGATATGTAATTCCTCAGTCATCTGTGGAAATTGTAGTGTGAAGATTGGACCAAATGAAAGCACAACACAGTTCATTGGATTCAACATTTGCATAATTTCTTGCCACTAAAGATTTCACAGTACTGTACCTAAACCTTTGACAATGATATACTTCTACAATAAATATCTTTAATCCTGCTAACTAGCCCTCCTCCGCTGTCCTCCCCAGGCGGTCGACTATGAGAGCCGGAGCTCCTACTCCTTCTCCGTGGAGGTCCTCAACCCCATAGTAGATCCTCGCTTCTTGCGTCGAGGCCCCTTCAAGGACCGGGCCTCCATCAGAGTAGCAGTGCTGGATGCAGACGAGCCTCCGAGATTCTCCCGAGCCCGATACCACATGGACGTGTCCGAAAACTGTCCGCCGGCCTGCACTGTGGGCCGGGTCAGCGCCGTCGACCCCGATACGGGTCTGACCAATAACATAAGGTACAGTAGCATCTTTCCTCATATAGCATGTAGGAGTTCAGTACTATTGTTATGTTTTTTATAAGTAGCTGAGATTTGAGGGTGAACTCAGATAAAGCTGGTCTACTTTACACTGCGTCCTCTATTATACTCTTACTGAGGTTTTTATTAATCAAATACTTTATGATAACTATGCTTATTTGCTTAATTGCTGAAAGTTAGCCAGCCAGCTAGCTTGGCTCTGTTTGTACAGGTTAAACAACGAGATAAAGTGTAAGTGACTGTGCTACAGAGGCGCTGGGAGGTGTTTTCTGTTACCTTTGGACAGAGACAGGCTAAATGTTTGCAGTCTCTGTGCTAAGCTAAGCTAACCGGCAGCAGACATGTGAGTGGTGTCAATCTACTATCTCTCAGGAAGAAAGTGCATTCCCCAAATGTTCCTTTAGTTATTGAAATAATCAGTTCTGGCTTTGCCTACAAATATATAACAAAAATCAAGCACATGATGTCGCTGCGAGTTGAATTTCTTTGTTTATTTAATGTTTTACAGGCTAGGATTTGGGTTTGTTTGTTTTTTAAATATTGATTGTTTTAAACAAGGCATATGTAGTTTTTGGGATTAAAATCCAAACTTCTTCAATTAAAAGAAACAAGACACGAGCGTAAGAGCTAACCAAATAAAAAAAGCCAACCAAATTCCCACTCAGTGTTCCCCCGAGCCGACAGTACCCACATACGTTTTTGTGGTCCAATCTTTCCACTGCTGTTTGCAGTAGGTTTTTTTTTTTGTCTGGGAGGCGAGTGATTTGCCTGTAACAAACCACACACAGCCACGTCCCAATTAGCAGTGCTAAGAGTGAGTGTGTGGGGAGGGATGATAGTTGGTATATTCATAGAGATATTTAGATAATCGGTGGCACTTCAAAAGAGCTCCTATCAGCTGCGATAATCTCCCTATATTAATTCTTTGGCCATTTGAATGCAGACTTCCTTATCGCTCCCTCACACACTCGCCCCGTGTGCTTCTTTCACTCGGCACCCCACTGCCACCTCGGCTTGCTTCTTCCCTTCACTTATTCTTTTCTGTGCTTTTCTGTGCCCCCTTCCCCATTTCACTTTTATTCATCTCCCTTTTTCTCAACTATCTCCCTCCTCCCGCCCTACTTACCCTTCTCCAGGTTCTCCATTGATCCTCAGTCGGACCCGGAGGCTCTGTTCCGTATCACCCCAGACACAGGCCTCATCACCACAGCCATGGAGCTGGACCGGGAGCGCGACCACTGGCACAACATTACTGTCATCGCCACCCAGAGAGGTCAGAGGTCCCTCTTTGCACACCACTTAACACTGTCACTAGAACTCACCCATTGGATCAGTTCTCTTATTCACAGCTGAAACTCTTAAATGGGACCAGCATTTTACCAGCACCGACACCTGCTCCCCCTGATGAGCATGATGGTGTGAGAGGTTTAAGTAAGTGTAAACCGTACACGGCTCGGTATCTGAAAAGCAGAATATCCAGTGTGTGATGCAGTCCGCTAAGCGGCTTAGCGTTCCAATCATCGAGCCGTGAGGGGAATGCTGTTTTGGCGCCACAAATTGTTTGTTACAGCTTGCCGGCGGATCAATTGATCCACGCGGCTTGAGTTATCTGATGCTGCGATAGGTCTGTTTAATAAGGATTGAACTGGAAACAAAGAATTTAAGCAACAAATCGAACGCGACCGGTGCTTTGCAGGCACACAAAGCGGTAGAGACTGCCTTATAGTTTCCGAGCGAGGAGTTTCAGCGAACGCCGAGGCACTTCACAGGCTGTATTTCAATCAGAGAGAAACCGCAAATGAGCAGATGAAAGGACAATCACAATGTCTGTTCAGTAGCTGTTCTGCAGCTTTCGACCATGGCCAAGGTGAGGTTGTTTTTGTCAGCTTTTATTTCCAGGGTCAAGGATGAACTTTTAAACTAAGAGATACTTTATAACAATAACTCAAGACGCGTTGGTGTTGACCCTGTCGAATAGATCAATTCATAGTGGTAAAACCCTATAGGAGCCATAGTTGTGGCCTTGATAGTAGGGATGGGGGGGGTGGTAAAGAGCTTAGACTGCAGTGAAAGCATGGTTTTAATGATAAGGCTGGCAGTATTGTGTGGGGGTTTTTCATGAAAAGACCAAAACTAACAATGCGTAGGTGCATCTCCCAATACTCCTAATCTGTCTGTGGTACTCATTCTCGAGCCCATTGTTTTTGAACGGCTAAAACATCTCCTTAATCAGCTGGGAAATGTGTTTATTAGTAAACATCACTCAAACAAATGAAAATAGTGCGTTTGTTTGGGACTATTTTCAGGCTGCGGATTAACATACGTGGTGCTCCAGTGAGTATTTGGGGCAGCAAGTGTATGTGGGACTGACTAAAACTACACCCCAAGCTCCATGTTATGGACAGAACATATCAGCCAATGGAAAAACACAATGGCCCGATATGGCACAGCGGAATATAATATATTAAGCTTTGAATACACAGACTATATTTGTTAGCAGGATCAATTCATTGTAGATTTTGGTCATTTCATGAGATTTGACGATGCCAGATCAGCAAATGCTCATCAATGGCAATAACAAACCTTTTTTTTCCTTTTCAGCCTGGTATGACTTTATTTAAAAATCAAGACCAGCCTCTAACAATTATTCTTGGCAGGCTCCAGGCCATTATTTGGATCATCTCAACTAGTTGGTGTAAAAGTGAAAGTTCTGCTCAAGAATGCAGTCCAGTGGCCGCTGTGTGTGCGAGGAGAGGAAGTTGTCTTTCCTGCCAAGTCTTGCTCCGGACAAAGTTAATCTTTTCTTAAAATCTACTCCTTGTGGCAGCAAGTGTTGGTAGGACTCTGAGGGCAGCACAGTGAGTGCCTGTCTTGAATAATGAGCTCCAGCTAACAAACTACGCTGTCGGAGGCTGTGTTGACAAAGACCACAGTAGGAGCCCTGCCATGCCATGGGCAGGCCAGCTCACCCGGTGGCATTACAGCAAGAGCACATTTTTCCGGTTGCTGGTTTGAGAACATGGTGTGGGCGTGTGTTCATTTACACAACAATGCCCCCCTGCTGTGTTGCAGGGTTGCCTGCTTAGATGCCTGAGTGAAGATGTGTGCTGGATTGTGTCCCCACACAAGAGCAGCCTCAGATGTTCCGGTGAATGTTCAGCTCAGAGTGTGACGTTTTCAAGTGTGATGGAGATGACTTCACGCTCACAAGTGTGTATGTTTATATATATATATATATATATCCAAGCAAACGGAGTGTGGGAGACCCTCTGCCAATCCATTTAAACTATGCCCCGGTGTAACTGCATGCAGATTGACTGCTTTCTACATCCCTCTTCTGCTCCGTCTCTCTCTTTCTTAGAAAACACACACACACAGACACACATGCTTTGGCGAGGAATGCAACAGTTTGATGTGGAGAAATCTGACCGATGTGGAAGCATCAGTTGCTCCTCAGCCTGTGAGCTGTAACACGAGCCAAATGAAACCAAATGTACGACTGTATTTTTAGCCGACTGTGTGCTCGCTAACCTGATCCGAGTGCCGTTGAAGTTTCTGGGCAAAAACTGAAAAGCTCGACCTCGCCCATGAGGACAATCGACTGAGTTTGTTGGAGCGCACACACTCGGGTTCGTTGCATTGGGGAATTGGATTGATGTGTGTTTTTTACAGTACAGCTGTCTGCATGCTTCTCAGAGTGCTGTATTGTAAGCTGCCTGTTTTGTGATTGGCTCTTTCAGACAATCCCAGCCAGGTGTCCAGAGTTCTGGTTGCAATAGAGACATTGGACCTGAATGACAACGCACCCGAGCTGGACAGGCAATACACAACGGCCATGTGTGACTCATCCTCCATTGGGCAGGTCAGTATGTGTTTAAGAGGCCTCTGATGTCTGATAGATGGGTTGTGTTTGCATGAAGAGTTCCACTCCAAAAATAAAATTTAATACCGCTATTTGTAAAGAACAAAAAATATTCAAAGAGTGAAAATTGGTGCAGTCTATTTGTTCTCTTCCACTGCAGGAACATGACAAAACACAATTTGATGCATGTCCATTGTCCCAGGTTCTGCTTTTGTTTCCACTCGCCTTGGGGACAGGTCTCTGGAACTATAATATTATATAGTTTATATATTATTATATATTACTATATTTATATTATTATATTATATATATTATATTCGTTTTTCTCTCTATAACAAGGAGATGCTGCTATCATCTGACAAATGCTGCTGTTAAGTGCACTAAAACTTGATTTATTTAACATTCATACGTTCTTTCTTTACAAAGTTTAGTTTTTTGATTACCTCTAGGTGTTTATGTTTTTTTAATTTTCAAATAAGTGCACTGTAGATTTACTTTAGAGAACAAAGACAATGCATCCAATAACAGTGTTAAATAAATCTTCATTTTAGTACAGCAAATTATTATAATTTGGATGCAAAAAATAGAAAAACAGCATTATATATTGTCTATTGGCCGCCCGGAAAACCCCCATATCGGTCGAACTCTAGGCGGCAGTGCTGGTGAGGATTGTGATTTGTCAAGAAGGCACAAGATATCACAGTACCGGAACCTCACACAGTTCTTAAAAAGTGCAAGTTGTCAAGTTCCTGAATTGGAAAGGGGCTGTAAGTGTTGCTGAAATATCTCAACTTTTGGATGGATGACATTTACAGACATTCATGGTCCCCAGAGGACAAACTGTAATGTAAACCTTCTTGATCCCTTCACTTTTCATTTAACACCATCATCGGGTACTTGATCTGGTACATGATATTCCCATCAGCCTCAGCTGTAGTTCCCGTTTTCTGCCAGTCATCTAATGTTAGCATGCTAAGATGCTAAGCTAACAACAGTGACATCTCCTATAAAAAAAACCTCACTTCAAAGCAGTTTTCATTCAATAAGAATGTTATACAAAACCATGGCTATTCAACTATAGGAGCATATAAAGTTCACCAGTACATCTATTCAGATACGGCAGCGTACGGCTACAGTGTGCCCATTCACCACTGAGGCAGGTGAATCCCCAATGGCCCGTTATCGGAACGCAGCAGCTATTCAGATTGTAATTAAACTCGAGTCTGCTCTCAGACTTTCTCCCTCCTTCCTGCCATCAATTTTTTTGTGTGCTTCTATTTCTCAGCATCATGGTGTTCTTACTTGATCCCGTCTCAATTATAGAAATCATCTCTGCGCTCCTCAATCTCTCCCTGGAAGCCATCCTTTGCTCCCCCCTCCTCATCCTCCATCCTCAGTATTCCACGCCGGCTCCATCGCCATCATTTGGTGTCTTGGCCCATCTGTTGTTTTTTTTTTTCTTTTGCTGGTGTTTTTTTTTTTTCAGCGCTCCCCTTGTGTCTTTGTTGTTTCTCGCCACTAAATCTGTGATTTGGTGGCAGCGACGTTGATTTGTTTTTTCCGTCTGTGACGTTGGTGTTTGTGTTTGTGCACGACGTGATGCACAAACAGTTCAAGGAACAGAGATTGTGATATCGTTGAATGTGTTTTGGGTTTGTGTGCGTGCACGTCTCTCTGTCTCTCTGCGTGACTTAGTCATTAGACAACACGCGTTTGAATATTCACACCCAGCAACTGATAACATAATGTGACTGCACAGAACAAATGTTCCCCCGGCCTGCAGACACTGACTAACTTCATCCCCACGTTCAGTCTCGTAACTAGCACTCGAAAGCATTTCAGAGAGGGCGTCTTGCATAATGACGACCAGACTTTTTCATTAGAAATAAATTACCCATCAGTTTAGGCTCTGGGGGAGATTCTTCTTCATTTTTTTTTTTCAGATTAATTTCGTTACGATCGCCACTGTGGGCTTGGCGCGGATTCCATTACCAAATTGAAAGCCACACTGCGTCGTATTTGTGAACGGCGGTTCACGTCGGACACAGTTATTTATTGGGTGTGAGTATCAGACCCGGTCCGCCTGTGTCTCTCGGCGGCTAATTGTTTGGATTCCTGCTGACGTCGGCTAATGCTTTGGAGCTAAAAGCACTCTCTGTGTAACTGTTTCTGCCAATACCTTCTTTTTTCCCCTCGACCACCCCACCCCCTCACACACACACACACTCACACCCTCCCCTCACCCTATCTCGTCTGCTCTCTCTATCTCTGGGTTTCAGGTGGTGCAGGTGTTGCGGGCGATTGATAGAGATGAGGGAGGGAATGACAGCACTGTGTATTTCAGCATCCCTCCGGAGTCCAGCTCTGCCCTCAACTTCAGCGTCAGGGACAGCGGTGGTAGGCACTCAATCTTCTCCTCTCTCTGTATATCTCTTAATACCCTTTTTTTCCACTCCCCTGACAGACACACACTGTTTCTCCCCTACTTTGTTAAGGCTCTTAATCCCACATTTTCTTTTCCGCCTTTCTCTTTCCATCTTTGTCTTTTCCCCTATACTCTCTTTCCTCTCCCCTCCTCTCAAACCCTCTGCCTCTTCCCTCCACCTCCCCCTTTCCCTTTTTCTGTCTCTGCCTCTCTCTTCCACCATCCATCTCCCAACTCCGGTGGCCCAATTGTTTTGCTTTGTTATGCTCCTCTCTTTTATTCGTCCCTCTTGTTTGCCTTCCCATACCCTCCACATCCATCTCCTCCTCCCCACGACCACGTATACTTACTGTTTTACAAAGAAAGGCTTTTGAAGAAATCAGAGCTGCTTCATTTAATTCACTTCAGCTCAATTGAATTTAGCTACTTAGCATTTGTTTCTAGTACATACTCATTCTGTTCCGCTTTCTTTGGCCCATTTTCCTCCGCAAAGACACACACATACTGCATGTACAGTGCAAGTACACACTGACAGACATATAAAGTACAGCACAATCATGGAATCACAGGCGTTCTGGCTTCTTAATTCAAGGAAGTGATGTACTACTGATTTTTTTGCATCAAAGCACAGAGTTTAGGGGTTATTTTTGCTGAAAGAAAACTATAAATAAAAAAGAAAATGACATTAAAGTTTCTGCATTCACCAACAAGTATGTACTGTGCTACATTCGCAACCCTTTTGTATCTTTGATCATATTCGCATTCACATTGCTTGTGCATAAAGTGGAAATTATTTGTCCACAAATGTCGCCTGAGGAATTTCCTTGAAAGCAAACAGGGATTTTTGCAGTCAGTGTTTCACAGCAAAACACATTGTGTGTATCCTTGAGCCCTAACAAACACGCTGAATAAAACATAAAACATTTGCAAATTTGAAAATTTTGAAACATGCGCCATTCACTGTGTAGTACCTCCCTGATTAAATCAGCAAGCAGTCTTTTTCTTTTTTCCCCTTTTGCTGTTTTGCTACACTTTCTGACACATTACAGGACTGTTGATCGGTGGAACACCGTGAAACTGAGGGAGGTCTCCAGCTCACCTGCACTACACAGTTGCATTACTGGCAGAAATGCCTGTCCGAACATTGCTCCAACAGTGGTCCTATTTATTTGGTAGAATGAATGTGTCAGGCAAGCTATAGATGTCAGTCCTTTATCAAGACATATAGCAAGTCGATTAGTCCCGTAAACTGTATTTACCTCTCATAAAATCATTTCAAAAGATTCATTTTGAGTTTTGGGCCTCTTTGGGCCAGTGAACAAAACACTTAACACAATATTAACACATTATCATCTACCATTGGCATTTATCGGAAGTCAAGTCTCCGTTCACCTGATGAATGTTTGCTTTGTTTTGGTCTCCGCCATTTTCCAAGGGAAAGCTTTGGCTCTTTGGTAGCTAAATGCTGCGCCCCTTTCACCTGGGTGCCATGCCATTGTTCCGGCAGCCCATTATTCTAAATACCCAACAGTCCAAAAACTGTCCGATTGGACCCAAAAAAAACATTTGTACGACAGCCCCATCATCCCAAAAACAAACGGACATTGCTTCAAAGGCCCATTGCTCCGAAAATACAAAATTTCTGTGCAAGAAATACAAGAACATTGCTAATTATTATGCATAATAAGAGGCAGAGTGGTGGGTCATGCATTCGCCAGCAGAAAAAAAAAATCTGGAAGGTCTGTTGAGGTCATTCTGCATAATAATTAGCCATGAGCTTTTGTTTGTTCCTTTTTCGGAGTAATGGTCGTTTGTTTTTGAGATAACGGGCTGTTGGACAAAGGGGCTTTCGTTCCATTGGGACCTTTTTCAGACAATTTTGGAATAATGGGCCTTCGGAAAAATGGGTAGTCCCCTTAACCAGCTATTTGCTAACTGTGTTGTTCTTCCATTTTGGTGCTGAGCAGGTAGAGTGCAGTGAGTTTATCTGAGCTATTTCACTAAATGAGGTTGATGAGAGTGGTGGCAGCGAACCAAGCAATAAAGTTGCGGGCCACAAAACCAAAGCGCTTAGCTAAAATACGCAAAGCACTCCGGGGGAACAGCAGAGTTGGGTGGTGGGTTGGACAAGCGACCTCTTCTTCACACTACGCAAAGCTATTCGACCCATCTTTAAGATAAAGAGTATTGATTAATCAAGTTAAGTTATCTTGATATGTGTATTCAGTCCCGTGTCCTGACCTGCTCTGGTTAGACTGAGGATCTGGAGGATAAACTCGCTTGACATGCGGAATCAAAGGCCTCTTTGAAGTGTCATCCAACAGCAGAACAGAGAAAAACAAGAACACGCTCTGTTCTCATTTGGACAGCCCCTCTGACAAAGGCTTGCTGCAGCATTTGCTTTGTTAAAAAAACACTAATGACTCAATCTGTGATTCGGATCAGAGAAGATTGTTTTGATAACTGAGTCTGTTTTATATATATTTATACAAATTTGCAGTGCCTTTCATGCCGATTAAATATTTTCCACATAACGTTTGTGAGCTCTCTTATCTGCCGCCTTATTTTTTTGTAGCTTTGTACATTTCATTTAGAGGGAATCTCTCTCCTTGGCAGACACGTCACTGCTCTTTTGTCAGACCAATAGAGACCAGAGCTTTGTTGTCGTTGCTGCTGTTGTGTGAGCCGTTATTGCTGAAATGATAATAGATGCATGGGCTTATGATGTGTTCCATGTGTGTAAGCATACCTGCTTCCTTTGCGGTATAAATCAATCCCCTATTGATTGGACTCGCAAATTTGCAAACGCGAGCACAGTGAAGTATATCTATCACTGACCTCCCGCTGCCATTCAGCACAGGATAACAATGGGAAAATTGCACCGTGCAGTTATCAACGGATTCATTTTCTCCCTTCAGGCCCCACGGCGAGCCTGGTGCTGCTGTCCCAGCTCCAGCCGCTGTCCCGCTCCGGGTACTCCACCCTGACGCTCCACGTGCCGCTGGTCCTGAGGGACGGGACGTCGGGCCTCACCAGCACCGGGACAGTCACCGTGTCCGTCTGTCCCTGCCTGAGAGGAGGGGCACGGGCCGGGGAGAAGGAGAAGGACAAACAGACGGAGGGCGAGTGGGACTGGGAAAGAGAGGCGGTGTGTCTCCCTCAGCAGTCCACACTGCCGTCCCCCGGGCTCAGCACCGCCGCCCTGCTGGCCATCCTGGCTTGTGTTGCCACTCTACTGGGTAAATACTTTGATACATCTGACGTCACCATGAGACGATAACAACAGTGGAAATTTTAAAAAGTGTAATAATAATCATTTTCTGAACCCCTTACTTTTATAACCAACATCATGTTTTCACTACAGCATTATTCATGAAGTTATATCATTAAGATGTTCTGCCTATAAAGGAGTTTGATGCTAATCTAAAAAAATAAAACGATGAGTAAATAGTGTTTAGGGCTGTTTACCCTCCACTTCATCCCTGGGTGTTTAATCTGCATATAAAAATAATGGAGGCAGCAGCGTAAATATTTTCCTTGGTCACAGCTGCTGAATAGTGGGGTTTATTTTCCCTCGCAATTTTGGTCCAGTCATCTCCTCTGGCAAGGTCGGCACTAATCACTGCTAAAATAACAATTTTGAGTGATTATCCGGGCCCTCCGGTTTTTGATAGCGGCATAATAAAATGTCACTGCCACCTTTGCAGAAACTCTGAAATGCTCAATTGGATAATGTGGAGGTGCTGAGAAGGCTTTGGCTCGTGGCCAGCATCATTGTCATCTCTATTTAGCCTGTTGGATCACTACTCATGCCTTGTTGATGGGGGCATTATCATTCTGGAAGAGGCCAGTTCAATCAAGACGGAAACGCAACACGGTGTGAAGGTGATCATGCCGAGCGTGTGTTTTGGTGGGAGTTTAGACTTCAGTTCTCCAAGTGTCAAGGGCAACAACCACACCGGGAAATACACACAACTTTATAGCATTCGCCTCAAGTCTGTGGCCTTAAAACAGAGCTAGAGCTTTGTGCCAGGACAATTTTGTCTTTCACATCGAAAATAGGTTGATGCTAATCCCGAACAGTATAACTGGGCCCCTTCACAAAATGCCGAATGTTCTTACAGAAGCTCAGACAACAGCTCCGTCAGGATCCCATCTGGTTATTAGAAAGGGGCTTGGCATACATAAGAGGGATATCGAGCCATTTGGTAACCACTCGTCGGGCCCCGACGAGGAGAGAAATACATGTTACTCATGGCGTAAAGGTGATCCCTCAGATTGAACGATTAGAGATTTCCCACTCTTCACAGGAATCATTAGATCAGTTTCATGGAAACCAAATAATGCAAAGCTCCGACAATATTAAGGCCGTGGATTTACTTACTGTGGCAGCTTAACCACCTTTGGTGCATCCACATGGAGACGCAAGCACATTATTATCACAGTGTTTATAACGGTGGCAAATGTGCAACACCCGTCCCTGAAAGCACAGTGAGGGAAAGAGAAGGTGAACTGAACACAGCGAGATACAATACGGCACACATTAAAAGCTCTCTTAAAGATGGTGAAGTGTGGAGCAGATTTCAAGTGGTCAGGCCTTCGAGTTCCAGGACTTTGTTCCTTTCACAGAAAAAGCAGTCTGAGCAAAATATGTTTTAGCAGAATGGAGCCTTAAAATTGCCACTTGAAGCTGCTCCATTGGATCTGCTGAAGCTCTGCAGTCTCTTGATGTGTTTTCAGAAAGGCTGAGGTCCATTTCAACATCACAAGCGTTACAGAACGCAAATCAATAGTTTTCATGGAGCTCTAATAAGAGACATAGGCCTACTCAGTACCTCAAGAAATTGGAGCATTGGCATTAACTTATATATAATAAATGATTTATATAGCACTTTTATGAAGTGCTTTTCAGAAACAAACAGATAAAAACCAAAGACAACATGAAAACAACAATAGAATAAAATACAAACAGCAGATCATAAAAACATGAGGGGATGAAATAGAGTTCAAAAATATATCAAATGTATGATTGTATAGAGGTCTATGAGAAAAATGACTCTACTTCTCACTTGATTTATTACATCAGTAAACATTGCAAACATGAGTTTATGGTTTCAGTCCCTAGTTTCAAGTCTTTTTCAATACAGCACGATGCTCATTTTGTGAATTATGGTCCATTTAAAATCACATTGATAAAGCAGGGTATGCTTTAGGGCGGGGCTACCTTTTGATTGACAGGTCGCTACCACGGCGGTCTGTAGTTGTTTGCATTTTCGTCTTACTTTAACTTCACTCTCACGTGTTTTAAGCTCATAAATGATTATTGTAACATTTTGATTGCCTAAAGAATTTGAATTCAGCAATGGCTTGTACTTAGCTCCACCCTCTAGTGTCAATTGTGGTTGCAAAAAACCAAGATGGCGACGGCTAAAATGCCAAACTTCTTATATACAGTCTATAAGTGAACGTAAGGATCAGTTGATTATTCTCAGGTCTTTTTTGGGTAGGTCCTCAAGGCCCCTTTTTGATCAGGTGTCTTTTAAAAAAAACAACATTTCAGCAATTCCCTATTTTGACTATATACAAGCAGAATATTTCCACATTTTATACACGATACACTTATTGGGTTTAACGAAAAATCTTGTCAAATAGCAGAAAGAAATCCATCTTTCAGGGTGGACTTCCATCACAGGTATAGCCTTGTGGGACGAAAGCTTGCAGAGCTTGGTTCTTTGCCCGCAGCCCTTTGTCGAATGTAGCTCTCTGCTTTGGGAATATGGAATAAGAGTCGCCGAGTCATGGGAGAATAAAGCGTCCATTTGCCTGACTGGAGCTCAAAGTCGATTACACAGTGGAGGCATGTAGCCTGCTGATATGATACACCAGCCCTCTCACCCTAAGGCCTCTGCTCTATTTGTTTTTGTCTCTGTGTCTCACCTCTTTGTCTGACTGAATGTCTCCCTTCGCTCACTCTCTCCTCTTCCTCCTTCCCTTTATTTCCCCGGCGACTTCTGCCCCCTCCTCCCTTGTTAATCATTTTCTTTTTCCAATTTCTCTCCTATGCCTCGGCATCCTTCATTCCCACCCCTCCGCAGCGGTGAGCGCCCTGTCATTGTCGCTGCGCCGGCAGAAGCGCGACTCCCTGTCACCGCTGGAGGAGGACGACGTACGTGAGAACATCATAACGTACGACGACGAAGGCGGGGGCGAGGCCGACACGGCCGCCTTCGACATTGCCGCGCTCCAGAGCGCCCCGCACAGCTCGCGCTCACGTGGCTATCGCACGCTGGACAGCAGGAATGTGTAAGTAGGCTGAGGGAATGTGTGTGTGTGTGTGTGTGTGTGTGTGTGTGTGTGTGTGTGTGTGTGTGTGTGTCTGCTACATCAGAGAGCGTGCTCACATGTACACATAATAATAATAATAATAATAATACATTTTATTTATATAGCGCTTTTCATAAAACTCAAAGACACTTTACATTAAAATCATCATATATAAAAGCAATACACTAAAAACATAAAATACACAATAGTGGTCACACATTAAAAGCAGTTTTGAACAGGTGGGTTTTGATTTGAGATTTGAATGTGCAAAGGTCAGTGCAGTCTCGGATGTGTTTGGGGAGAGAGTTCCAGAGTTCCACATGTATAACAATTGTTGTTTGATTACATCAAACATCTTGGCTGGCCTCTTTTCATGTGCTAAAAGGAAGTTAGGGAGGAAACAAATTTACCCCCTTCAGAGTAAAAGCTTTCATCCCAGTCCAGCACTTAATTGATCCACTTTAGTAACGGATCGAGTCTTAACTCCCAGATCTTAATCGGTCACCGATCAAAATGCTGAGACAGAAGGCTATCAAGCTCTGCAGTCCTGGGAGAACACTTTGTTGTGCTCATTTTGTTAAAGCTTGTTTACGCTCTGCTACATCAGAGGGCCGTTTGCACCCACTTTGATGTCTCTGCGAAACATTGTTATTGCCTTTGGACTACTAATTAGCTCCGATGAATTCCGGCAAGCCATATGGAAAGGCCATAAACAAGTACAAAGGCTGCATTAAGTTTATCGGAAATAGCTTCTTGCAATTCATGGAGGTGGACACAACAATGTGACAAAAAAAAAACAACAACTTTAAATCTAACGCAATCCGTTGCAATGTCCCTGCAATAAACACTACCTTTGTGATGTTTTTAATGTGTTTCTTAACTCCCTGTCACGGAGGGACGGATAGTTAAACTTTATGGAAAATTTGAAGCTGCAGTTTGAGGTTCTGTTGTATGTGAGATCCTACAGAGACTTTCGAGCCACATTCACACAATGCATCTCTGTTTTCTTGGCGAGTTGCAACAGTTCTATAATGTCTCCTGTGGCTCTTGAGGAAGCTTTTGTTAAGACTGGGAAAGTAACCCTGATTGTCTTGGATTTGGTTTAGTGACTACAATTTCTAACAGAACCCCCGTGATACAACAGTTTGTAGCTTGGTCTTCATACTAGAGGCTAGAAGTCAAGATATCTTGGCCTTTGATTCTGCAAAAATATTCTCAAATTGACCAGAGATGGTGTGTTCTGGTGGGCCAGAAAGTTAAGACATATACCAGTACAATGTCCCAGGCTGATTCCCACCAGAGACCTTTTTTTTCCTGTCACTCTCTATTGTTTGCTGTCAAAATAAGTCAAAAATGGCAACCGACTTACCAAAAATAGACATGATAAATTAATTACAGATTCTGCCTTGTGTCTCACAGACGTTACGCCCATCAAAACCAAGAAAAAGCTCGCACCTACAGCTGGGCTCAGAATCCGGGCGTGGAGCACAACTACTCAGGATCGGGAGGGCCTCTCTACGGTCGCCTCTGTTACAGCAGCCACACGCTGCCCGTCCTCCGACGCACACCGGGCGGAGCATTTGAGCCAGGCCTGGCAGAGCTGGGGTACCGCTTTCCTGGAGGCCAGCCAGACCACTCTCTGGTCATCCAGAACCAGGGAGCCATGGTGGGGGCGATGGAGTCCGGCGCGATATACATAGCTCCCACAGACATCAGCACGGGCAGCCGAACCGGAAGCCGCGACGGGACCGCGCCCCAAAGTGGGGTGAGCACGTCGGACGGTGGGACTCCGAGGACCAGCGACAGCCAGGAGAGAGGAGGAGGGACGGGCACTGCGAGCAACTGCACTGAGGGGAGCAGTGAGGACAAGGCGAACCACGGTCAAGATGTGGACTGGGTAAGGACCCCGCTTTCACACCAAACACACAAGTTGGGATCATAGTTAAACTGATCTAATTTGACCCCAAATATGCTCCATGATAAGCAGCCAAATGCGCTCTGGTTGATAGAAGGCTTGAATTTTGCTTCACGAAGTTAATTTCTTTGCAATTCAAGCAGTTATGTTATTTGACTCTTTGATCAAAGTCAGAAAATGGATGTCATTGTTGTCTCCATAGCAATGTTGTCCGCAGCATCCAAGCTAGCTGTTTTGAATGATGTATCGCTTTCTGTGATGACGTTCTATATTCTACATACTTGTCTGGTGTGAAACCGGCCCTTGAAGGGATTCTGTGCTGCAACACAGTTTAGTGGAGGGGTGGATGCTTCGGGAAGGAGAAAGGGTGATAGACACTGCATCGAGTAATGAATTAAAACTAATTAAGCTATTTGATCAATGATCGATGGCCGCATTGGAGAAACCATTACATTTGAATGAATGACTAAATTATTAGATTAAATAAGCAAAGGAGTAAGTAAGAAACTGATTAAACAAATGGTAACGATGCATTCTTGCACGTTTTGTGTGAGACTGCCATATGAATGGACTCTGTACTAAAACACTGTTTAGTGGATGAATGGATGTTTCAGGAAGGAGGAAAGGTGATGGACGTTGCATCGAATAACGAATTAAAATTGAATGAATTACTTGATTAATGATAGATGGCTCCATTGGGAAAAACATTAAAGTCGGATGAAGAACTCAATTATTAAATTGAATAAGCAAACGAGTAAGTAAGAAAGTAATTAAGCGAATATGAAATAATTATTATGTTATTTTTCATCTCGGTACGATGGCAGAAATGTCCGGGACAATGCAGGAGGAAGTTGATGAATCAGAGATATCAGCACATTAATGTCCTGCTGTTCGTTATCTTTTCTATCTTTTGTTTTATTTATTGGGCCACAAAAAGGCTGTCCTGCCCTTACTTTAATTTTCAAATATTTTATCTCTCCATCACTTCCCTCTCCATTTCCCCCTCACAGTGCAGTGTTAGCTCATTCTAATGTTCAATTAATATCTCTGGCTTCTTCCAACTCTGCCTTTCTTCCACTTTGTTCGGCTCAATGTCTGTCTCTCCTTCGTCTCAATCATCTTCTTTTTTTTTTTTTTAATCATCCCCTTCTTTTCCTCCATTCGGGCCCTTTATCCCCCCCGTCTTTCTCCACGCCTCTCATTATATGGTCCCACATCCCATTTTGTGTTACTGTGACCACACCTAACAGAGCCACACCCTACCCCAGCCCCGAACTGAAACCCCTCGTGCTCGCCTACGTTCCCTCCAGGTGCAGTCGGAGACGCTACCCAGGGAGCATCACCTCGTCATGACCCGATCCGGATCCGTGATGGGCCAGGGTCACGGCGCAGGAGGATGGGTGTGCGACTCGACTACCCTTCCCATGGCGGGACGCAGGACCTCCCGCGGGGGCCTGTCCCCGAAACGCACAGGCTCCGGTCAGGCCGAATCTGACTCCAGCGGCGGCGGAGGAGGAGGAGGAGGAGGAGGGGCGGGAGGTGGGAATGGAAGTGGGGGTGCCTCCACAGATGGACAACAGCAACCTGCCCATGGACGCAACTATGCCACCGTCCTGCAGGGTGAGATGTGTGGACAGAGGGACTATCCCGGCAGCTTGGGGAGAGGAGGACTGGAGATGGGGAGCAACTTTATGGTGGCGAGGCCAGACAGGGAGGGCGGAAGGATATCATCTGTCTACCCGGAAGCGGCTGGCTTTATTGGGGACTGGCGTGATCGGATGGGTCTGGGGGGGTATGTTTTGGGCAGGAGGGATATCACCCCCCAGCTCTTTCCCTTCCCGGGGCAGCCTCGTGGAGCGTACGGCGGGGTGATGGGCTACGGGGGCGGCTGGGTTCCCGGAATGGAGGCCGCAAGAGGAGCCCCGGGGCCCGGCGGCCCCTCCCTGGCACTGAGGGTGGGTGAGTTCCTGCGTCTGCGTCTTGCCCAGGTCACTTTTGACCCATCGCAGCCGCCGTACGACTCTGTGCAGGTGTACGGCCTGGAGGGCACAGGGTCCCGGGCTGGATCCCTCAGCTCCCTCGAGAGCGAAGGAGAGAAGGATGCGGAGAAAGAGGAGTGGGGGGCGGGGCTGGAGGAGTGGGGCCCCCAGTTCCAGAAATTAGCCCAACTCTTCAAAGACAGGGAGAAGGAAAAGGAAGAGGAGGAAAAATATGAAGTGGGTGCCAAAAAGGAGAATGAAAAGAAAGACGAGCCTGGGAAGACAGAGAAAAAAGAGGGAGGGGAGCCGGCCAGGGAGGAGGGGAAAGACTGAGGGATGATAAAAACGAAACAAATAGGGGCAAAGGGGGTGAGAGGGAATAGGGGGATGATGAAAAGGCAACCAGAGCTAGAATAATGTGAAGAGAAGTTAAAGGAGAGAAAGATGAAGAGGCAAAGTAATAAAAAGAGACAGAGAAAAATGAGCCTAGGGAGGGTGGAGAGTGCGAGGGCAGGGAGGGAGTGATTGATGTAATTTAAAGCAATAAGTGTTGAAACGCTGATATGGTTGAGCACAGATACTGAGACAATGCAGAGGCTGCTTCTGCTCGGGGCAGCAACAATTTGTTAAACGCTTTGGACAAAGAAAAACAACCCAAACATTCAAGACTCGATTTAATTCAACTCGCAACATACATGGAATGAGAAACAGCGGGAAGCGAGAAGAAAGACGTTTTCTCATCGTGTGTGTGTGTGTGTGTGTGTGTGTGTGTGTGTGTGTGTGTGTGTGTGTGTCGGTCTGCTCTTTGTGTCACCGTGTGTGTGTGTGCGGGGGAATACAGATGTGCGAGCAGGAGCACGTGTGTAGGCGTGGGTGCATACGTGTGCATATTTATCGAAGAGAGAGCGGATAGTGGCGGCGAGAAAATCACGATACCCAGAGACAATTTAAAGATGAGGACGGGGACAAGTAAGCTGCGACATTAGTTTCCGGGACAACGTGCAAGAAAAAAAACTTTCAACGAGGAAGGTTAGGAAACTAGGATAACACAGAAGTGGAAGGGGATGGTATATGTATTTAAATATGAAGTGAACGGGACATGGGATGGACGTATAGAGAGCGAAGTGGTCGGGGGACGTGAGACGATTGTACAGAAACTGTTACTTTTCATTCCGTCTGCAGCGGCAGAAAAGTGAATTATTCAGCTCACCACTTCATTCCAAATGAAAATGATGAATCATTTAAATCCTGCAAAAGATTCTCCTCCGCTCAGCCCACAAGGAAAACAGACATTGTGAAATATTTAAGTGATTTAGGGATGTGATCCCCCCCCCTCCCTCTCATCCCTCAAGCTTTTTGTAGTCGAGTGTTGGTATGTTTACAGAGGTTCACACACAAACACACACAAAGACACAGAAGAACTTATGAACACTATAAGGCTTTGATTGTACTACAGTGAATTATAAAAGCGAAAGCGTACCGCCAGTGTTCCATCTGCTACGTGGAGTGACGACGTCTCTATTATTCATCTCTTAAATGTTTTTATGGAAGAAGTCTCCTATTTTCTATGCGTAACCCCACTGTAGTCCCACTTGATACGTCTTGAGGGAAGAGTATGCATGATTGTATGTATGAACCTAAAAAGTCAATCAACTCCATCTTGAACACTCGTCCTCCCCAAATGAAAAGGTCCACGGCTCTGTAATGAAGCTACCACAGAGGCTCCCTCGACAGGCTTTTCTGTTTTTTTTCTGTTCCTGTTAAAGGTCAGGATGCAAATGAGCTGGAGTTTTCAGCTGGAATGCACTTTTTTTTACCGTGTGATGTTCAACAATAGATAACGAATTACGTCAAAGATAACAGTTGTTTTATAAGATGTCAATGAAACAAAAAAAAAAAAAAGATACAATGTTTGACTGTACGTAAAAGCATTTCAAATGTAAATACCACTGAATATTATTGCTAAAAGAAAGTATATAAAATGAATAAAGAGTGATAAAAAAATATCCAAAAAAAAAAATCTAAACTTGTCCAAATGGAGCACTGTCGGCACCGTGTATTATGTACCGTAGATTAGTAATGGGCTCACTGAGCTGGACTTCACAGCCTCCTGGACTGAAAACAACACCATGTATTCTACACCTGTGTAATAAGTGAGCAGGTTTGGTTTGCGCTCGCACTCGTCTGAGATGGACAAGCCAGGGATTCAATTATACATGAGCCCTCTGGCAGATGTTTGTTCAGCAAAATATCAGTAAGAAGAAGCCTCAGAGCCTATAGCCGGTCCCACCGAGGATCCCAGTGGGATGAACATCTAATGGAGCGAGGGGGAAATTCCCCTGATGGGCACGCAACAAAATTTCTGTAAAAGCGGAATGAAACACTTAAACGGAATTTGTAATAAGTTTCGAAGACAGCTCTGTCGTTAGTGTTGCACTGCCTGAGAGATATGGAACTTAAATTTTATGGATCGTAACTTATCTCTAGAAATATAATAAACTGTACAGTTAAGAGTAAGATTTTTAATAAAAAATCGGGGGAAAGTGACTGTCCATCAAAAGTTGTCTCGTGCATTTCAGGCAATGCAACTCAATGACCGTAATAACATTGCATTTTGCTGTGCGTTGACCGCTGCATAGATCTAAAGTCAAGCGAATTCTCTAATTTTGTGGAATAATAACCCAACAGACTTTTTATTTTTGGAGCCCCCAGGGGAATTTCACCTCCTGCCCAAACCTGAATGTGGACATCTTTGGTGTGCCATCGCAGAAATGTCACCGTTTGTCGCCGGTTCGTTGTAAAGCCACCCACACATGTCAAGCTGTCTGCTTTGCTATTGTCCACCCATGAATCTTGTTGTCAAGGTCTGCTTCAGTCGACACTTGAACCAGTCAGGAAGTCAGTGCACGCTGACTGGAACGAGACCCATACACATACACTCTGTACCCTTTACCTGAGCCACAGGCTTGTCCATACAGTGCCACTGTGCAATCTGCATGGTATCAGGACCAATGTACAAATACTGCACAATAACCGGAGAAGAGTGGAGGGGAGAGGGGGGGGGTGGGCAGAACCTCAGCTGGGGATCTAAGTCTATTTAGCTGATCAGCAATACCTCAACATCCTAACGCTACTTAAACCTTTCATCAGCTATGAGCCACTGATCCAAAGTGACACGGCATGTGGCCCGTTAGACACTTGCAGCAATACTGTGTGCCAAACTTGAAGGAAAATTCTGGTTTACTACAACTTGGGTCTTATTTTCTTCGTTGGAGCAAAAAACACAAGCTTACAGGTTTATAACAAACCCCAGACAAACGTATTCCTAATAACGCTCTGTGGTAAACATAGAAATAGAATAGGAGTAGAACGAGCTTGTTGATTCCACCATGCTTTAATGCTACACTGGTTACAGAAAATAGACACTCATCTGGAGAGAGCAATGTGCTTTCCAACACTGTGACAAAAGTGTGGAGATGAAGCCTAAAGTTGTTCAATTTGACTCATTTACTCTGGCCCACTCTGCTTTGTAACGTTACTGCTCCACTGCTCTTTTTAGTGGTTACTGCAGAACCTCAGCTCAGTGAATCCGCCACTTGCCGTAAGTCTGTTTATTTTTTAAGGAGGTTAGCTACAAGGCTCTGACGTCTCTTGATCCAAGGTACTTGAATGAGGGATAATTACAAACATTTTACACTAAGTCGTGTCTTGGGCGAATTGGCACTAGATATCAAAAAAGCAACCACGCAGGAATGAAATCCATCTGCTCGGCGCTCCAGCCGCGTGCTGAATTTGTATTTGCTAAGCACCAGTCGTCGTTCTCCCGTTCCCATTTCAGTGTGTTTATCTGATTCCTGATCAGTTAAAACTTTAAACGGGTTGGAGCAGGACCAATCTTTAGCCTAAGAAAAACAACAAGGATGGCGATCAGATAAAGTATGTTTGCTGTCACAGTTGTAAACGTACTATGTGGCTTACCTGGGTGCAAGACAGAGCCTTCAACTGGTTTAGATCTCACTAAACTACTGACTTTTATGTACAACCTTCTGGGTTGTCTGACCTGTTACTTTCTATCTGACTCTGTTGTAGCAATGTTGCCATTTACTTAAAGAAATAATGGTCAAAACTACAAAAACAAGACCCAAATTGTAATAGACCAGAATTATCCTTTGAACCTTATTTTATTGGAGTTGAATGTCAAACGATTTAGAACGGACGGAACAAAAATGATAATGTTACACCTAAAAATGACTGCCAAAGAACTTGGAGCCATTCTGTTATGAGGACAAGTATCGTTCTGAAGAGCACTAATGTGTCGCTTTGCCAGTGCATCATCCGGGCCCTGTTTTCTTGAGCGTTTTGGTCGAATGTGCTAACTTTCTGAGTCGCTTTTGTCTCTCGACACAGAAAAGCTCTCCTCATTTTCATAACAGTATTGCCAATTCTGGGACAGCCATTGCAAAAGCAATTAGCATGGTATACCAGTAAGTCACCTTTCTTGCCTTGCCAATTATGTGGTTTATTCCACAGTCCTGATTGGCTCCAGGTGCTTCATCTCCCCTGATTGGTCTAATTCAAAGTTCTCCTCTGGCTGATTGGTCAAAATCAACGTGATGATTCTCCTGATTTGTCTTATTTCGGTGTTCTGGAGTGCTGCGCCGACTGAACCTTTTGACGGAGCTGATTATGCCCCCTCCTGAGCCCGGCAAATTGGTTCAATCAACAGCGTGATTAGTTGAATCAGTTCTTTTTAAATAGAATAAAAGCCTGCGGTCTCTGCAGCACTCCCTGCTCAGATTTACTGACCCGGAGTGACTGATGAAAGCGGACCTGCCAGTCCATTTTTTCAAGTCCTCTGTCCAAAAAAAAAAGAAAAAAACCCCCAATATACTGAGGATACTGAAGTCACTCTCAAAGGACGAGAGCAGCTATGTTAGCATTTAGATATGTTGACATGTAGCTTAAGGGTGCAGGTTGAAGGTCGGGACCTCTGGCTTCTAGAGTCCTCTCGACCGCTTCGGTTCTGTGCCCCCCCCTTTCCCCCGGTCGACTTCATTGCTCCTGCACGATGTTGATACAATTTCCACAATTGCGTGCTGAACAAAGTGTATTTATTTCTGTTGTACTTTTTCTTTTTGTAAATTTGAATAAAAAAGGAACTATTTCAAAGAGATGAGTCAGACCCAATCTGTGCTCCTTTCTGCAGTCTCCCGAGTTTCTGGATAATCAGACTGCTTGTGTGTGTGTGTGTGTGTGTGTTTGTGTGTGTGCGTGTGTGTGTGCCCTCTGTGTGTGTGTGTTTGTGTGAGTCTTTAAGAGAAAGAGACAGAGTGAGAGTGCGATCGAGACATGTTCTGTGCAGTGCATACAAATACGTTCAGAACTTGCGAGCATGTGTGTTGTTGCGAGTAGGTGGGTGTACCTGCTCAAATTGGCCATTTGAATTTCCAAACCACAGACTGTGTGTGTGTGTGTGTGTGTGTGTGTGTGTGTGTGTGTGTGTTTGTTTGTCTGACTGCAGGATGAAGGAACACCTTGTCTGGTGTGATCCAGGCCGGTGGGGGGATGTGAGGTCAGTAATAGAGGACAGACGGAGAGAGGACTGCAGAGCAATCACGCTCTCAGACAAAGGTGGGAGGGGGAGGGGGGGGGAGAGAAGTTCTCTGTTTCTTTGCCGGCAAAAAAAAAAAGGACATTTGGAACTCAAGAGCAGCAGCAAATAGAGCAGACCCGACAGCTGCGACCGAATAATACGAGGCCCCCTTACCAATCCTTGCAGCTCCCCTGTGCTCTGCAGCGCTTCACCCCGGTTCAGTGATGGATCGGGGTGATGTGTGCCACCGCTGTGTGACTGAATGGCTGGTTAAAAAGATTTATTACAATAAATCAAATATGAAGGAGGGGATTATTTCTACATGATGGTTTAGACAATGATCGCGTTAGCTGGGTCTCCGCTTGATTACAATGATAATACCCGCCTCGAGTCAGGGAGAGGGAGAGGGAATGGATGGGGAGAACCGTATTAGCAGTTAATATGCGAGTCTGTTGCATTACATAAAACCGTATTTGTGATTGGGTTAGAGCTGATTCCGCTGAGCGCTGAGAAAAAAAAACAAACCCTCGCCATATCTTGTGTGTCTGTGCGTTCCCATAATCCTGAGATTCTGACTTCCCCCCCACGGAAGCTAACATCATGTAACATCAAGAGGACTCCAAGTCAGTTGGAGGCAAAACAGAGCTTTGAATGGTTTTAACCCCCCCCCGCCACCAAACTGATAAAACACATCAACTTGTAACCGACACGACGTTCTCATTGATTTGGAGCTCCTATATGTGCGTTCATCAGTCTGCCTGAAGCATCAACACCGCAATGCAGCATTCTAGGTGAGTTACTGCTGTCATGGCACTGTCAATAATTACAGCATGCATAATTGATCATATAATGGCGGAGCTGGAGATAAAATGAGCTCTGTTAATGCCATACACCGAGGAATGACTAACTGCACTGTACTGGAAAGCTACGTACACACTCAACGTGCTGCAGGATTGCATCACAGGACACACAAGTTTGTGTGTGTGTGTGTGTGTGAATTCAAGTACATGGAGATTCCTCATTCTGTTTGAACCTTCCTGACACAGAATCCCTCTGGCTATTCAGCACAGTGCAAGTGCGCAAGACACAAGTTGGTGTGTGTGTGTGTGTGTGTAGCTACAGTGTGCATTTGAGGTTGTGCCTGCATATCTTTGGATCTCAAGAACATAGGCTTTAACATATACAGCACGGAAACACATGAAACATGTATAGGCAGGTGACTTTCGACAGTCTTCCTGGCCCGTAGTTAAACATCTAACAGGCCCCAAATACCTCTTTCCACTAAATGTAGTGCTTTTATGTGGGGGTGGGTTTCAATACGGGGAAAACCCTCTCCACGTGTGTGTGTTTTGCAATGATCAGTGTGATAAAACTACTGTTTCTTTCAATGGAGTAGGAGCAGCTTTCTTTTCACATCTAATTCGGCGAATTCAGGGTTTATTTCAACCAAACCAGAGTTGGTGATTGTTGAAACAGTGGGAAGACGAGCCAGGATGGTTTTAGTCAGTGTGCGAATTACCCGGCTGCAATCAGGGAGTCCCATCTACCTTTTAAAAGACATTTTAGTAACAATTGCAGGTGGCAAATAATTTTCTATTGATTTTAGAGACTCTCAAAATATTGCTGTTGAGGCTTAAAGGGGGCTTCAAGTGTCAATTAAGGGGTCACAGACCCCCCCAAGACCCCCTGTATTTCACACACTGGTTTTGGTCAAGTTTTATTTTGTATCTGTTGAGTTTGAAGGGAGTCTGGTGGCTTTGAGGAGGGCGTATTAATTGCATGTTTGGTGCGTTAATGAACTATAGTAGTTGTCCGCATCCCTGTAGATTTTATTATCTCTCAATTAATGGCCAGAAGCCAAAACTTGTTGGTCAAAACAATAAAGTTCTATTTACCACAAGTGTTGCTGGAGTTTCGACCTCGTCAGATTTTATTATCTACACCAGGAGCAGATTGGTCTGGCGTGTGCGTGATTGTGCACCCCTGTGTCTGTCCACAGCTAATCTTGCATTCTGCTGCAGCAGAATACTATTTTGGGTGGACAGTTATGGCTGCATGCTCAAGGACCTCTTGTGGTTGCGGTTTCTCACGCTGTCTCAAAACACCATTTATTGCCTGTTTTACGCTGCCATTGACTGCCTGCTGACGCCTCACTGACACCTCTCAACTGGCCCCCCAGCCGGTAGTTGCCACTAGTGATAACACAGCGGAGTGCATCGCCCGTCCACTGCCGCTACTCTGCGCCCAGAGACACAGTGAGAGGAAAACAGTTTGCTCACTTTTATTGTTTTGATTGGTGTGTTTGGCTAACAGCCAACAGAACTACTAGTACACACACTGATGAGGACATCGCCGCCACTCAGACGCTGCTATGCGGGCAGACAGCTTGGCGAGTTTGATTTTATTTCTAGCAAGATTGCATAAAGTGTGTTTTACGACACCTTACAGCCCATTAAGAGGGGTGAGCAAATTGTGGGTTGTGTTCATTCAATCACACAATGCAGCAGCGGTCGTTGCAGACACACCTGGCGGAGATCAGTACTCTACTGAGTGCACTTTCCTTGTTTATGATATTCACCTCAATGCACGTCACGTAGCATCACGCCAGAAAGGGGCGAAAATTACCATCTCCGCCGTGTGCCATGTTTCCATCACTGCCTAATGGAACTGGAGACGATTAATACCGGTGAATACTGCACAGTCATTTGTCCCGGGAATGAATGCAGATTGTAACCTTTGCGAGTAAAGACAAAAGCTATAGTTAGGGTGTGAGTATTCTTTTTTTCGTCCAGTTGTAAAAGGGCTTAAGTAACATTAACTCCACCCGTCCCTGTGGCTTTTATACTGGCCCCATTCCTCTTCCTCGTCTCGCCTCTCATCTTTCTCTTTTCATCTCGCGCTCTCCCGCTCATGCGTTTCGCTCGGGACGCTCTCAGAGTTCACTGGCTCATTCGGAGTGGAAAATTAAATCTTCATTAACAATCTTAATTAGAGTTCGATCTCCCCATAGTAAGCCGACAGGGAATCCATAGTGTAACAGGGGGAGACCTGCAGCAGGGGTTGGTTTCGGCCAGGTGGGGGGGGGGGGAGGAGAGGGGGTAATTAGTGAGTGGGAAAGTCAGGGTAAATTACACAAGAGGTATTTACACTTCAGAGGCAGGGGGGACCGGTTGGAGGAGGCGGATGATTTAAGCGGCCTGCTGGCAGACGCTGGAACAAAAGTCCAACACGTGTGCGTGGCGTTGGTGACCGCGCAGTTCTCCTTTCTGCATTGTTGGCAAACTGCGGCTCAGTGGCAGCGAGGGAGGGGCGGGGCGGGGGGGTTAAAGGGGACAGTATTACTCAGGAATCTCCATCGGAATTGCTTCTTGTCTTGCTTTTTGGTGACATGGTGTTACGTGAGGCGACATAATCCCTTATCATGCTCCCATAAGCAGAGAGCATTTGCCTAATACCAGTCAGCAATCATTCAAAGACATGGCTGAGCATGCAGCATGTGCTTCCTCCTCTGATCCACATTTACATACTACAGCACACTATTTAGCCACTGTGTGGCTAAAACAATTATGTTCCAGCACAGTTCAAATATGCATGCCGCTGGTAAAAAAACAAAATGCAGGAAAACTCACTTTTCTTGCAGCGCCTCCTTTCAATTCCTTCAGTGGCGGATGTCTTTTCTCCCTCTAGCTATATTGCAGTTACCATCACAATCCTTCTGCAGTCCTCTCTGTGGAAGCAATGAGCTGAAGAGAGGAGGAATTTGCCGGAGGGGAACCAGGACTAGCCCAGGACCTAATCCCGTCACAGGAAGTCTAAAGAAGCAGCGCAGCAGCCTGGCCTATAAGTGAAACTGTATTTCCCCCCTGCAGAATAGATTATTTGTTCAGCTGTCCAGCTGTTGCCTTATTTTGCAGAGAACATACAGATACACGTGGCCGCGGAATATTTCGAAACGCTGAGGGCAGGAGATAGTGTCTGGACCTTCGTTTTTTTTATCTGCTCCGCGCGGTTTCCTGGGAACTGAGCTGGTCGACCGCTCCGAGCAGGGTGATCATATCTGCCGTAATGCTGCTGTGGCGGCTCAAGACTCGGGAGAGAAGTCTGCAGATGTGTGTGTGTGTGTGTGTGTGTGAGTGTGACAGACTCTATTTACACACCCGATCATTACAGGCAAAAGGAAAGAACATGATAAGCAATTAGAGATGCACAGACACAGAGAGAGAGAGAGAGAGAGAAAGAGTTAAGTGTGTTCATCAGCCCTCTGTGTCATATTGGTTAATTGTTCATTGAAGTGAGTGGAATAATAAGTTGAGGGGGATGTTATGCCGTCAGTGGAATATTCATGGGGATTTATTCTCATCAGCTGTGCCTCTTATTGTCCTACATAGATCATGGAGGGAAGTTAACAGCCGAGGGCTGCGGAAAAAACTGAGCCAGTGTTTGATAAACTGCCCACTCACTAAATACCAACAGACACTCAAACTGTGTCTGACCATGAAGAATTCTGGCAGAATGTTTCTGTGTAGTGCCAGAGCCATGCCGAATAAAACATATCTGTCCACCTTCAGGCTGTACTAATACACTGTTCGTAGTTATTCCTACGAAAAGTAATGCATCATTTATGACGTGGTATAAAGAGCGTCAAAGTCTACGTAGGGAGGGTGGATGGGTGGGTCTAAAAACACTTTCACCCAGGATGCTGCTGTTCGTGTGCCGTGTGAAACCCAGGAGCCAGCGTTGACTTAAAGGAGCAGTGTGTAGGATTTAGTGGCGTCTAGTGGTGAGGTTGCAGATTGCCACCAACTGAATACCCCTCCGCTCACCCCTTCCTTTCTGACGCAAAAGCTCGTAAGTCTCTCGTTAGAGTCAGTGTTTGGTTTGTCCGTTCTGGGCTACCGTAGACACATGGGCGGACTCAGTGAAGAAGACCTGCGTAGATTCGGAGGGCTCATTCTGAGCTAGCAAAAATACAAGTAACTTAGTTTCAGGTGATTATACACTAATAAACACTTGGTTATGAATGTAATATTCCATTTCTGCTAATGGAATATTTCTACCCCTACATACTGAACCTTTAAGTAACACAAATTCCGTAATTATTTAAACGCAAAACAAGATATTTTCCTGAACCGAACCAAAAGGTTGTATTGCTAAACACTGCATGGGCTTCACGCGGACACATTGATCAGTCGTGTTGCTGGATTTTCAAATTAAATGGAAAAGAAAAACCGTTGGAAGATATCATACGAGCCGCTTTATACATACGAGTCAACACAGTGCTTGAAATATATTGTCTGTAGTACAATGGTAACAATAATAAAAAATAAGACGATAAAAAGGCCCCACACTGTGAATTGATTTATTCAGTGCAGTATAGTGTGACGCTTTAACATGAAGCAGTGGTTTAGTTTAAGGGCGAGACTTTTTTTTATTTCTTCTTCTCTGGCTGTAATGATGTAGACTCTGAACTTATGCTTCCTAGAGCAAGCTCTCTGGTGGTGATGTAATGCGCTGCCCATTACTCCACTTGTATTACTATTAATTAGTACTATCGTACTTATTACAGGACCTGTCCTTTTTTTGTTTTTAGTTGACCGCTGACTGTAAACCCATACAGTAGTTCGTCCTAAATGTTTGATACCAAGCATCACATAACTTATTTAATAGCATGCAGTATAATAAATCCATCTCGCTAAGAAAAGTATTACTCTGAAAAACTTGGACGCATACATCAATAGTCCTTAACGTCCCATTTCCTTCCATTTCCACTTTAAATAGCTTTAAGCATGTTCAAATAATCTCCATCTGATAGAACCACACACATATATATATA